TTTAAATTTTTATTGGAGAGAGTAAGAGAGAGACATCCATTTGTTCCGCTTTTTTATGCATTCATTGGTTGATTCTTGTATGTGCCCCGGCAAGGGGTCAAACCCGAAACCTTGGCGTCTCGGGACAATCCTCTAACCAACTGAACTACCCAGCCAGGGCTTATGATTTCTTATTTACTTTAAAGAAAAGGCAGGCATCAGAATTTTTATATGAAAATAACTGGAGGACCAATTTAAAATTTTATGAAATACTTCACAGGCCATCAAGAAATCTGTGTAGGTCATAATTTAAACCTCCAGTTTAAGGTTTCTGGATAACGTCACTCGCTTTTAAAGTCTGCCCACCTGGCCCGAGGAGCCAGTTAACTGACAGGACCTTAGAAGGTCATCCTTTATCAGGAAAGGGTGTGAAAGAAGAAGCTACTGAGGCAGGAATTTGAATGGGGCTTGGGGTTGGGATAAATAGTGAGGTGGATTATAATGCATGGAAATTATGGTAAAACTTTTTCTCCACACCCAAAACAAGAGAAAAGAGATTATCTTTCAGGAGGTGAACTTTAAAAAATGAATTATTTAAACTTTCAAATATTTAATGAAGCCAGTAGAGAAACGCAAAATTGTTTTAAAGAGAACAAATGACTCCCAGACCAACAGGATTTGATTGTAATTTGATAGAGTAAGTTAATATGTTTAAAGGAGGCGTGTTACTCAGGGTGGAGATGGTCAGCGATGACTCCAGAGCCCATTTTAAACACCATGCTTGCTCTTGGCTCCGTAGCAGGACAGTCACAACTGTGGCGATGGTGCCATTAGGGAGAAAACAGGCTCTCAGTGCCTACCCATATGTTTATCCGGTTGGTGGACAGTTGTGTACATACATCTCACTCTCTCATTACACTTCATCTCTGACCTGGTTAACCTGAGTCTTCCCTCCTGGCAGGCCATGGGGTAACAAGGCTGAGAGTGCTCTCGGGCCTCCGCGAGCCCCAGGTGACACCACCTGGTGAAGCCTCTTGGACTCAGCCACTGACTGCCCTGCTCTTGCTGTCCCCCTCCACCCTCACCTGCATTTCCCTGAGCCCGTCCCTCCATAACTTCACATTTACTAGGTGCTTACTGTCGGCCCTAAGTTAAGCACGGAGTCTAAACTCTGAAGGATCAGCCTTGGTTCGGCCTCAGGGACCCTCTAGGGCAGGGTCCTCCCTAGACTCTGGGAACCCCCTGAACCTCGGTGGAGTTTATGTGTGCGCATCTCTATGTATTTTTCTGGGGAGAGTCTATAGATGCTTTAGGGGTTCTGTCGGCTTTGGCAACTATTTGGTAACAAAGTTTAGACCATTGCTTTGGGGAGCACAGCTTGGCTTCTTGATTGCAGGGGCTCTGCAGGGGAGAAGGCTTGTACACCTGGAAGGCAAAGTTGGGGCCCTTAAAGACACAAAAGATTAGATGCCCAGGGGCAGAGGGAGGAGAAGAGTCTGTGGGTGAGGTGCACAAAGAAAGGGACAGTGTATTATTTCATGATGCACATAGACTGCCATGAGTGGGATATTCTGTTGATATTTTCCCAATATTCTATTTTTGGCTGATTGCTTCTTTTTTTGTGGGAGGTAAGAGTGAGTGGAGAGCAGAGTAGCTGGGATGTTTCCCTCAAACATATTCAGGGACATGGAAGGCCTTGCTCCATAATGTAGGATGTAAATTGCTATGGGTGGTAATAAACAGCACCATGCTAATTTTTGCAATATTAAACCTAGTATCTATAATGGTCCCTGCAATGCAATTCACTTTAAGTTAGTCCAATTCAATTTATTTCAACAAACAGTAATTGAACACTCCTTATCCACACTATTCCAGCTTTTCTATTGAAATTTGGCAGTGGATTGTGGTCATGAACTACTAACTGGTGTTGTAATCTCCACAGGACTGGGAGCTGGCAAACTTTTAGGGTAATACCCTGGTATAACTAGGGGAGTATTCACCGGGCTTGCCTGGGACACTTCTGGTCTACCCCTGTTGTCTCAGTGTTATTAATAGGACCGAATTTAGATGACAATTTTTATAGTCACCCCTCTATTTAATCTTTTTATTGCTCTAACCTTATCTAATCTCATCTACTTATGTGTCTCTCTTCCCATTAAACTAATAAGCTTCTTGAGGTTAGAGACATGGTCTCATTCATCACTGTGTCTAACACATGCCCATTATTTGGGGGACACTTAAAAAACATTTAAGTTGAACTGAAATTTAGGACAGAATGAAAAAGAGCCTTAGAGTAAAAAGGGCCAGCTCACGGTATCTTCCATGTGCTGCAAAGGTCTAGACTGGAAGCTCAGTTTTGAGTTATGGATGAGCTTTATTTAATCTTTTTTTTTTTTTTTTTACATT